TCTGCTATTGTATTATTGTATTAATCCATGGAAAAAATGTCTTACAAAACTAGTCCCTGGTCCCAAAAAGGTTGGGGATCACTGTTTAAACCAGTGGTTCCAACGTGCACCCCACACCCCACAGGGGGACAATTTGAACTTTGTTTAAAACAAGTTAATGGCCTTTTAGGCTTCCTCCGCGTGCGTAGAGTTCACTTTTTGAGTAAAGTAAGAATTATATGTCACGGGGGAGGGGGCATCCGGATTTTAGAAATGCTTACATGGGGCATGGCCAAAGAAAGGTTGGGAACCACTGGTTTAAACCATAGACTCCAATCCTCTGCTTAGTGCAGGTAAGAATTAAAAGTAAAGCAATATAAGCAAATGGTTCCACTGAACATTTTCAGGAAAAAAACCATTTTGCTATATAGTTCCCCTGCCAAACTACTTCTTCTCTTTCAAATTTCTTTTCTAACATTCAGTTATATTGTCTGTATTTGCATTCCCCTTCTTTTTGCAGCAGCACCCCACTGCTATCATATTCCATTTACAATCAACTACTACCCCAGGGTCTTCTTTGAAAATATTTTTACCAAGTTAGGTAACGTATATTTCATTTTTGTTTACTAAGTGAAACATTCCAGCTATCGGTGTTAAATTTCATTCTATTACTTGCAGACCATTTCTCCACCCCATCCAGAATTCCAAATTTATTGCTACCTATTGTGATATTAGATTTACCTGCCCAATTTTGCATCATCTTCAAATTTAATAAGAATTCCCTCCATATCATCATTCAATGAGTCTTTTAAGTACAAGACCCAGGACTGATTCTGGTCCCTTTTGGCATCGCACACAATCCCACACAGGACAATGTAAGGAAGAACCACTAATGAACACTGTGAGTGCATTCTTGACTTGGATATATACCCAGTTTATATCCTTGCATTCAGGATGTCATTGGATATTATTATTACTATTATCAGAGGTGTCAAACTCGTGACATCACGTCATCACGTGATATTTCCCCCCCCCTTTGCTAAAACAGAGTGGGCATAGCTAGCGCGTGACATATCCTGCCAGCAGTCTGACACCCCTGCTATTGTTATGGTTGGTTGCACAATCATATATTTAGATTAGATATGGCATTTTATTCACCTACCAAGTCAGCACCAGATGAAAATGAATTGCAGGGTTTTGGTTGAAATATCCACTTGCCTTACACTCATTCATTGCCAAGAGCTGTTACATGTTAACTTTTTGCTTACTTTGAGTAATTGAAATACTGAGTATAGCAGCTGAACATATTTGAGGGGGAAATGGGTTATCCTTAATTGGACCAGAAGAATTGATGAGCATGCTCCTTCAGAACTCTTATCCACCAAGCACCTTGAGTTCTTCTGTGTATTTCTGTGTACCCTCATCTACTGCACCTGCTCCTCTGGCTGGCTGGCTTTCTCATCAACTGAAGTATGTCCACTCATGGCCCGAGTCCTTTACCTTTTTCTTCAACCAATTGGCATTTACTGAAAATACATGTTTAACTTGTCTTAAGGAAGGAAGGCAACCAGCCTGTTTGTATTTATCCTTCCATCCCCTTCTTAGATCACTTTAAGTAGGAAGGTTTTTTGTTCTTTTCTTGGGCTCTTTAATGAACCCAGTTATTAACTCTTCACTCTATAAAACATGTTTATCCCCTCAAACATCTTTGTTTAACACTTTACACGTTGGCTTACTGAGAGGCTTGCTTCCTAAAAGCAGGCAGCTTTACATTAAATTCAAAAAGGAATGAGACACCCACTCACTATCCATCAGCTCTCAGGTCTGTCACTCCTTGCCATCAGAAGCTCTTCAAAAGATGATCTTTGCAAACCCACAACTTGACACGTAATCCTTCAGAAGACACTGCTTTTTTATTCACTCTTCTCTCTTCCTGGTTTTTGAACTCCTTGGAGTGAACAGCTTTTCCTGTTCCTTCGGATTATCTCCAAGTCATTAAATATTGAAGATCCAGAACTGAATACTCCACTCAATATCTCATTCTAGGCTGATGAGTAGTAGTCTGATGAACTTTCAGCATCAGCTTCAAGCCAGCTACGTATCCTGTTAATTGCCATGCTATGCAGCCTACACAAAACTATCTTCCTAATCAGAAAGTCATAATGTCCTTTTTCAAATGCTTTGCTGAAATCAAGGCACATTATACCTACAGCATTCCCACAATATACTAAACAAGTTATTCAATCAAGAAAGTAGGATAAGGATACTTAACAAGATTTCGTCATGGTAACTATGCTAGCTTCTTGGTGATTAAGAAGGCTCTTGTAAATCTTTCTTGGAGGATCTTGTTTAGCAGAATTAATCACCAAGCAGATGTCAGGGCAATGCATATACACCATCACTACTACTCCATGCTGCATTGAAAAATCTGCAATTTAATTCTGGAAAACCTCACCTAGATCTTCTTGGCTTCATAGGAGACAGTAGATACCATTTGAGTAGGAACTCTTTTAAACTGCATATACTAAATATAATAAGTGCACTGTCATCTCATTCCCTTATTATTGCTTCTTTCATCTGGTATAAATTGTAATTAATATATAAGTATGCTTTATTGCAGGCAAAAACCAACAGGTTAAAATAACTTATAGGGGCAGGGGCCAGGCAAAATTGATTCACTGATTATTTGTCATGAAATTGTATTTTACTCCTAGCAACCTCATAGATTTACTCCAAGGTGATCTATTCCTAACCTTTTCTTATTATAGAAAGATATATTCTATCTTCCAATACTGCACTCACTGCCTCTGTAACTGTGTCCCTCCCCTTTGCTGATGGTCGTCCTCTTCTCTTTCCTTTCTCACAATTAGAGCCTTTTCCTTTCCTTCCAGATCGCTGGTCTTTGCATAATGCGTATGAAAAAGATAATTTTGAACCTGGTCATTTGTTCCTTGAATGATCGATTCAATGTTCCATCGGTTTGTTTTCTTGGCATTTGAGTATCTTTTCCAAGTACTTCATGGCTGCTCTACTGAGTGCTAATCCATGGCATAGTTCTTAACTTCTAGTTCATTTACTGTTGATGGTTAGTCCTAAAAGGCAAAAGCTATCCACCATTTTGATATTTCCATTATCAATTCTAAGCCTGGTTTTCTGTCTGTTCTCAATTATTTCATCTTCTCTATACTTCAATTTAGTCACATGTCTTCACTATGTTCTTTGACTTTTGTATTTTTAGCTGTCAGGATACTGTCATAGATAGCGCAGGTCATTAATGCTTCTTCCTCCAATTTTAAAACCACACTCATCTTCTTCCAATCCAACTTCCTTTATAAAATATTCAGCACATAAGTTGAAAAATTTGGGAAAAGTATACAACTTTGTTGCACTTCTTTGCCAACTTGAAACCACTCTTTTTGTGTCTGTACTATGGTTTTCTGCCTGTGTCTAAATTTCCCATGGGAACAATGAGGCATTCTGGGATTCTCATGTCTCAGAGCACATTCCACAGCTTGATGTGATTGATATGAAGGCTTTACTGTAGATGAAGCACATACTAAATTCTTCTTGGCATTTGTTGGCTTTTTCAATTATTCAACATGCATTGTGTTCCTTGTTTTCTAAAGCCACTCTGAATATCTGACATATCCTTTTTCATCTAAGGCTTTAATCTGCATTGAATGATCCTAAGAATTATTTTGCTAGCCTGTGAAATTAAGGGTAGTGTACGATAGTTTGCACACACTATTCTCATTTTTTCATATTGGAATATAGATACACCTCTTCCAATCAGCTGGCCAGTATGTATTTCTGCAAATTTGTTGGCTTAGTCACTTGGAAACTTGACTGATTTATCTTCCGTTGCTTGCCATATTTCAGTAGGCATTTCATCACTTCTACCATCTTTCTGCTCTCTAATATAGATGGCAGCTGGGATGACCTTCTACTTTTGGTGACCCTACTGGAAATCAGTATACTTGCCATATCTATCATTCTTCCTTCACCCCTCCCAGGACTCCTCCCCCCATTATAATGAGGCAACACTTGGCATTTGGGATGGGGCAAGTACATTCAATACAAAATAAAATACAGTGCAGATTTTTAAACCCACTAATATAAGTTCTGTTGTTGTTGTTGTTGTTTTTAAAGTAAGGAGAATTTAGTATAATAACTAAAGAAAAGGATAGACCACAAATGATATAGCAGATATATTCCAAAGAAGTGCACATTTTCCTTACTTTAACTTTGTGCTTCCTTTTTTAAAATCTTGCCTGAACCACTTAACTCGATAACTTCACATTAACCTTTCTAAAACTGATGTTTCAAAATGGTCTGGAAATATTTTGCATATTTTCATTTTGTGAACTGCCCACTGAGGAAAAAGAAGAAATGAGCACTCTCAAACTTGGGATGTTCAAAATTCAGCCCAGGCCAAAAAGAACTGAAGGTAAAGACCTTTTCTGGATCTGTGGAGTTAGTATAATCAAAAATAGCCATTACATACCAAATTATAAAAGAAATATAGTGAGCCTTCAACTTATGACCACAATTGAGCCCCAATTTTTTGTTGCTAAGCAAGTCAGTTGTTAAGTAAACTTTGCCCAATTTTATGACCTCTCTTGCCACAGTTGTTCAGTGAATCACTGCAACTATTAAATGAGTAATAGGATTGTTAAGTATAGTATATCACAGAAGTGAGTACACCCCCTCACATTTTGTAAATATTTAAGCATGTATTTTCATGTGACAACACTGAAGAAATAACACTTGGCTACAATGTAAAGTAATGAGTATACAGCTGGTATAACAGTGTAAATGTGCTTTCTCCTCAAAATAATGCAACACACAGCCATTAATGTCTAAACAAAATACTGTATATTTGGCTTCCCCATTGACTTTGCTTATCAGAAGATCGCAAAAAGAATTCACATGACTAGGATATTGCAACCATCATAAATATGAGTCAGTTACCAAGGGTCTGAATTTTTGAGCAAGTAACCATGGGGATGCTTCAATGATCATAAGTGTGAAAAACAGTCATGAGTCACTTTCTTCAATGTTGTTGCAACTTCAAATAGTCACTCAATGAACTATTTTAAGTCAAGGACTACCTGCATTGAAATTGTTTCAGTGCTTAAGAACAATTGAGAGATAACAAATTGCAGTAGAAATACATTTAAACACTGGTCCTTCTATAAAGTGTACCGTATGGAAAAATGGGCGGAAAAGTATATACAATTAATAGTATTATACTCCTTCAAGGAAACAGAAAAATACAATTTCTTAACAGATTGTGATTATTGGATTAAATAATTAAAAGTAGTCTGCCAAACCACATTTCATTTGATATGAACGTTTCCTTTTTGATAAACAATCATAGAAACATGATTGAAGCAACAAAAAGTTTCAGTTGTAGAAGTTATTTTTGAGTTTAATGAGAATTTTAGGCAGCTAAACTGATGATTGAACTGTGATAAATACTGCAATAATTTGAACATTCAAAAGTTTCATAGCAAAATATACAATTCTTATAAATTTATAAAATCATTAATATCTAGCTAAGAAAATGTTTACAGGGCTGGGATTTACAGCTGTAAATTTTATTTACATCTGCTTTGTCTTAATTTTAGCAAGATATATGATTGAACATGATTATCCATCTAGAAGATAACTCTGAAAACATTAGAAGAAATTATAATGCATATATTTCTAAACCCTATAAATACATGATTTATTTATATAATGCAAAGAAAACTCCTTAATTCAGCTAATTATATACTCAATCAAAATGTGTGTCTGTTTTATATTTATATATTGTAAATATTTTGTTGTTACTAATATTATTATTTTAATGGAAAAAAACAATTCCTCTTTTCCAAAGTTAAGATATATAGCACATGGAGCTTTGTGAAAAATCTATTACTATTACTTTAAACTGGTAATATCTGAATGTTTCACTGATATGCTACCTTTTTGTAATTTGAAAAAAATATATCAGAATTTTGATTTCCCCCCCCATTTGCTTTTTAAAATAATATAACCTAGGGATATAGATTCATAAGTAGCTGGTGATTTGTTAATATTCCTCATTCATTTGATCACTATGTACTTTTAAATTATAGTAGTATAATTTTTCATCACACTTTAACACTTTTGAAAGCACTTCTTAGTCACAGCCAATTAAATGATATTTCAATTTTAGTAACAATTGTACAATGAGACATGAATTATATTGTCAGTAACTAACCTGTTTGCCATTGTGAGTTACAGATGATAGAATGGTACGTAAAGTCTTAAAACCCATAGCTATATCGAGCAAATGAGCAGCGAAGAAAAAGTTGTTGTAGTGGCCAAGAATGGACATGGTTGTATACCAAGCTAAATACAAGAAAGACTAAAGAAAATGTTAAATGTCAGAGAACCACTGGTATTTTTCTCATTGCATTATACTATTTGTTATCATTACATTTCATTTATAAAACACTTGTGTTATAGTATTAAAATGCCTACAAAGGGGCTTATACATTAATGATCAAAAAATTGAATCCTTCTAGATTATATTAATACTAATAGTAGGTTTGACAACTGTTACATAAATGATTAACCAAAGACACAAGACTATTGTGGAAGAGATAAGTGTGCATTACATTCTTCTTAAGATATGCACATGGTTACAGAGTGCTTTGTGCAAATAGAAATGTCTACATGAGCTAATCCTCTTTTCTCACAATAGGATCTAGTCGTAAGCCAAACAAGGCCTTTCCAGATGGAGAGGAGCATGGATGCTTATGGACATGTCCTCTTGCCATATCCTTTTGCCTCTCGTGTATTTTGTTTTTGCAGTCTTTATTTATACATCAAGTTAAATGGAAAGAAGCTATCTGCTATTCCTAAGTTTGACTTGATAATTTAAAAAAGTATACAAGGCTGCTTTTTAAGACCACAGGGTATTATAGGCAAGAAAACATGATGTAGAAGCGCATCTTAGCTAAATCATTATATAATGTCACAGAATATGCAAACCCCAACTCATTTCCTTAACTGGTATCATATTAACAGTTTATTTGCATTTCTCCTCTTACTTAATAGATTTCGTATATTTTCTTCACTTTCCCCTCTTTTTCCCATTATTCATTTTAAAACAGATGTTCAAAACATTACACAGGATTTATAAGGATGACATCTATCATTTGGGTATTTATGCTTGCAGAATTAATTTCATTTTAAAGCTGTGCATTTTGTAAGAGAGAATGCATGACTACAAGGCTTGTTTCCTTTAAGAAAGAATAATGAAACAAATGCCATTTAAAAAAAATATTGTTAACTTACATTATCAGTGAAAACTACACCAAGCTTCCAGATTTGATATTTTGCATCAATAGAACTTAACCTAGTAATATACAAAATAATTTGAAATTAATCAAGGTATTTATTCATCCCTTAATTATAATGTAAGCTTCCCCCCCCCCCAATTTGTTAGGCTTTCTTCTTGATAGTGCATCCACTAAAACGTTTCAGAATTTTGTGGAGGTTTTCTGGATATATTTTTGAAAACAAACATTTCATCTAAGAAAATGACCTTTAGATGAATGATAACATTATATTTGAACAATGTAACATATATACTAACAGAAGTTTCAGCTCTCTGAGATCTGGTCCTTTATGTAGTCAAGGAAACATCATTCACTATAATAGGAAAGTATCCGCGGACTTAAGGGAATCATCAGAATTTGAGTAATACAAAATCAATAAACAGTCTCAGAGGAGAAATTTCTAAACAACCCAATGAACCCTAACTCTGAAGGGAATTGGAATGCTTATGGAAAGGAGAAAAATAGAAAACTGAAGAGGAGGAGGGGAAATGGCATGTGTTTTCCTGAAAGGAAGACAAAGAAACTACTGCCTGCAGAGCTGCTTGTGCCTAATGGTGTATTCTCTTGAACTTCCTTCCAACTAAAACTGTATGTCAAAGTAATGAAGCTAAAAGAAGGAATCAGGTATGTTATGTGCCACTTACATGCTATTGTTTAAAATGATTGATCATTTTAACTTACTTACAATATTATAAATAATAGGCATAAGAACATCTGTGTTTACATAATTTAAAAAATCAAAAATATCTGTGTGTCCCATTCATATGTGATAATTTTGTAATAATGTAATGAATCAGGCCAGCTCTCTCCTTTCAAGGTAATATTACACTCCCATCTAGACTATATCTCCCTAATCTTTCTCAAAGCAATTTTGGTCAAAAGAAATTGGGTAAAGATAATTAGCCAATGATGTGTAGTGATATGCTCCCAAGTGACAATCCATAGGCAAAATGTTTAAGCTCCATTATATTGTGCAATCTGCAAGTGATTTCTCTTTTAGAAAGAATGACAGTTATAACTTATTGTATTACATTACAAACTCAAAACAAAGATGCCAATAATCTAGCATTTTAAAAAAATAATTAAAGTTAAGCATATTAGCCTGTGAAATAAGCAATTGATTAAGTATAGTTGTAGCTTGCCAACAATTGTCTCATTTTAATACTATGATTTTATGAAATTCATAAAAGCATACTTAAAATATTCCCTCTCTCAAAACAGAGCACATTAAAAATAGATATTTCCATCCAAATAATTAATGAACCTCAAAGCTATAACAGCCATAACAGTATTGCTATTTTTTTTTGTTCTTATTAGGTTGTCGAGATCCATGAACTGAATAATAACATAATTTGTGAAAGCACAAAACTCTCTGGATCATCATTATAGTGCACAAACACATACTCTTTATGCATAGGATTGGATTGCTAAGACTTCAGCTTTCCATCACAGGGCTGTCCATGCATAACCACAAACATAAAAATAAAACAAATAAAATGAAAAAAATCAGTTGTATTATTTTAATACATTTCAGTTTATTAAATGTAAAAGCAAACATTACCATGAAACAAGAGAGGCTTCATCTGGTTCAGTATGTTCTACTGGACTAAAATCCAGAGCACTTTTGTCCAGACCTAAGAGTTCTGCAATGCGCTCTGCTCCATATAAATCGCCATACTTGTTGATTACCTTCAAGAAAATAAAAATAAAATAAAGTATCATGTTTTAATTAAAGCAGTTCCCACTAAGTTTTTTAAAAAAAGTTTTGCATTTAAAACTCGATGCTCTTTAAAGACTGCTCTCTCACAGAAAGGAGGGGAAGATTGAAAGTGGGGGCAAAAATCTCCCAGTGAGAGCAATCAAACATAAAATCCTAAAAAAAAACAAATTACCATTGTGGGGAGTATACAGAGCATATATGTTCCTATTGTTCTGCAGAAACATCTTGGACCAATCCAATAGGTGCTTATTATTATCAAACATGGGTTACTACCAGAGCTGGGTTGCTGCCGCTTCGC